TATATATATATATATATATATATATATAACCAAACTCTAGAAGGATGGCTCAAAGGTATCATACCTGGAATCATCTCCCACCAAATTTGGAAGGAAAGAAACCGGCGCATCCATGAAAACATCAGCAAAGACTCGGGGAGACTACTTCAAGACTGTATTGCCCAAGTACAGGAGTGGGTTCTTGGAAGGGCTCCTTCAAAGCTTAAGTACTTCGACGCCTGGAGACTTCCTCCTGAACTTATGCTCTCGCAGCAAAGGAACCCCACCCTTAGAATCCATAGATGGACCAACACCTCGGACGGCGGATTACACCTCTCCACAGATGTAGCAGTCAATCAAAATTACGGGGTGGCAAGTGCAGTTTTACGCAGAGGAAATGACACTTTCATTGCAGCGGGAACATGGAAGATTGAAGAAACAACTGCCTTACAAGGTGAGGCAAAAGCTTTAGCCATTGGCATGCAATGGGCTGCACATTTTGGAAGATATATTTGGGCCAACACTGACTGCAAAAGTCTAGCCAAGTCAATTTCTAGTCGCAAAAACCCGGGAGTCAACCATGAACTTTGGACAACTCTCCTCCATGCTTTCTCACATTCGGGTCAAAAGATCTCCTACATACCTCGAGAGGGAAATATGGGAGCCCATCATTTGGCCAAATGGGCCAGCCAACATAACCTTTTTACTCCTTGTATTTCTTTTTTCATTGCTCCCCCACATGTTCAGGGAGCAATCACAGCTGATGTAATGCTTCCTTTCTTTCGCTAATCAATAAAAAGCTAGCTTCATTAATATATATATATATATATATATATATATATATATATATATATATATATATATATATATATATATATATATATATAGGGAGTACCAAATACTACATCTACCCAAGTATATTTGTCTAGTTGGACTTTTTCGAGTCAAATTCGACTAACTTTAAGTTTCACTTACTCTTAATTTATACTCCCTTCGTCCTAAAATGTTCTTCCCACTCACTTTTTACTCGGTCAAACTTTAATCACTTTCTTTACCTATTTTCATTAGGTATTTGATAAAATAATATAGTTTTGTCACCACTTGTTTTGTAAAACTTTTGATATAGTTTTTAAATATATAAATTTTATATTTTAATTTTACACCTACAATCAAATAAATTGAATTGAAAATAAAGTCGATCAAACCTCGTAAAATGTACCGGGAAGAACATTATAGGACGGAGGGAGTATGACATATTAGTGGTTACGGAGTATTAGAGAGTATCTCACATCAAAAAAGTGATAAGAAAATAATCGGTGCATAAGCTCTTGAGTTGACATAAGTAGTCGATTTAATTATTCAATAATGTGGCTCAACCCAAGTATCGCATGACCCAGTTCAGTGACTTCTGCCCCATTCTAAATTATATCATGGTTTCAGAGCTAGTTTTAGCTCATCTCATTAAGTGTTCGTTTAAACGTTCATTCTTATCGGCCCTTGTCTTTAGTCTAGTTGTCCATGTGAAATGTATATCAAACGGTCTGTAGCCTGTTTAACCCATTACTCATTTGGAAGTCCATACTCATTGGCTCGTGAACCCTTAGATTTTGGTGCTAAAAATAGTCAAGGGGATGGGAGTGCACTTTGCAAATGCTCAAGTGGTTAGATTCAAAATGATATGATTCTCCACTTGGGGGGAATATTAGAGAGTATTCCACATCAGAAAAGTGAAAAGAAAATAATTGGCATATAAACTATTGAGCTGAACTAAGTAATCGATTGGATTCAATATTTTAATGTGATTTAAGTCAAATGTCTCACGACCCAATTCAATGATGTCTATCTCATTCTAAATTCTATCACGTACGGAGTACTAAATAATGAGATACAATTTTAAAAGTTTCATTAAAGTAAATCTAATAAAACTATTTTGAGACTAAAATATTTTTATAATTTTTATTTATTTAAACTTTAAAATTCATCTAATATGATTCAAAAAAATAAAATTGGATACATATACCAAAACGGAGAGAGTTTTAAAGAGGAAAAACACAACTAGTCGTATTTGGTATGACGTGACTCTTGAGCGTTAATGTGCCAACAAAGTCATCAGTAACATTTTCCAAAGTAAATTGACCTGCCATCACAATTCATATTAATACCTCCCTCCCATTATACTCCGTATTTGTCTACTTTTGATTTTTGGAATTGTTCATCTAAGCATTTTGACTCATCAAATTCTCTCAATGTGTAAGCCTAAATATAGTCATGTGTGATCTTGTTTGATTTGTCTTAACATATAGATTATTAATATATAATTTCTATAATTTTTTAATATACAAATTACAAGATAAAATGGATTAAAGAAGTGTATTGGATGGTGTGTAAAATTGAATGTGGACAAATACTCTGGGAGAAATTATTAATTCACAACGTTGTATCGAGTCCTCAATTCCTCTTCCCATAAATGGATTACTTATTGAAATTTGAATTGCATCATTGCATGCATGGACCATTTTAGTACTCTCTTCATCTAAAAGATTTCTTTTTTAATTTGATCTTCTTGATAGAATTTTTGAAAGTTAACTACAAATTTAAAAAAATTGTGAAAAAGATTAAAGTATGGGTAAAACATTAAAAATATACCAAAATAAGACTTTGTTAAATGAAAGAGAATATTCGAAGAATATTTGGATATATATAACACATTACTTTATAAAGTAATTAAGTATATATTTAGAGCTTTAATGAGAAAACTTCCATTCAATGCTCTTGCTGACATTGATGAGGAGGTGTTAAAAATATTGTCTAATCAGCGTGCCAAATGTCGTAATTCTGGAAGCTCAAGCTCAACTCTCCTTTTTAATATATAAAGTATTATTTGTTCCTTTTCAATAAAAAACATACTTCGTAGGTTTTATGATTCTCTAATTTTGATACGATCGGAACTTCTCTTCAGTTTCATTATATCCTCTTCTTAAATATAATTAATTTTTAAGCAAATTTTATAATTGATTCTTTATAACAAAAATTTTTCCTATTTAATCTTTTATAATCATATGGTATAAGCGGTGTTAGGTATCTTTGTACAAATAGTTTTTTTTATCTTCTGTCATATTTGTGTTAATTTAAGAGTTAAAATTTATAACTTCACAATTGTCATATACTCCCTTCGTTCGATAAAAGTGTTCCTATTTTGACTTTGTGTAAAAATAAGGAAGTGTTAAATTGTATTTGACTTCTAATTTTGCCCTTGATGTGATAAGTAAAAGTAAGATGTGATGAATTGAGGGTATGAAAAGGTAAGGGTAAAAGTAAGTTTTTAATAGAGAGTAGAAGTATTTTTTTGAAAGTAAAAAAATAAAAGAGGAAAAGTTTTTTAGAATGGTGAAAGTATATTTCTTTTCATATGGAGATCCTCCGGCGCCGGGAATTGATGTTCGAATTTGGACGGGGAGAAACGGATCGGTTAGGAAAAAACGGACTACATAGGCTCAGTGTATGTAGGAATAATTAGAGTGGGAGAGAGTCAAGAAGAAGAGTATATCTTGGAGTCAAATAGAATGGCGCGTCTGCTCATCAGTCATCACAAGTCCACAGAAATGGACTCTTGAGACTTGAGAGTGGGTGGGGTATGACTTGGACTTTAATGTGAGAGATTTTTTTTAAAATATTAGAGCACTGGAAATACTCGTGAAACTCCGGGACTTTAAAATTTCTCTCTCTGCCACATCAACTTTAACTTACCTCACAGATTCAATGGAAATGGGTTTGAAGCCCCGGGACTTCAAACAGGGGTTTCAAACCTTCATTTTTTACATTTTTAAATATACATCTTCTAAATTTAAATTATTAAATTTTAATTACTTTATTATTTAAATTAATCAAAAGCAGACTAGTGCATTAAAAAAAATTACATTCATTAAAAAAATATTAAAAAAAGTTACATTTATTAAAAAATATTACATCCATAAAAAAATAACACTACAAAAAAATTACTAATTATTCGAGTGACTAAAAATATCTTCATTTAAATCCGAGTTGTAGTAACATATTGCAAACTGAAATAATTCATTAAATAAAAAATACAGTCAATAAATAAAGTATGTTAAATTTAATAAAAAAACAAAACAAAATTACATTACTAAAAAAATTTAAACAAAAAAAATATTACATTAAACAACAAAATATAGAGTAAAAAAATTTATGTTTGTGTATATATTTTTTGAAGAGAGAGTGGAGGGCTTTGAAGCCCGTTAAACTTTTGAAGTAGAAAGAATGAAGCCCGTATGAAGCCTCAAGGGGGCGGTGTTTGCTGCCCCTTTGGCGTTAAAATGGGTAATAACGCCCCTGGCGTTACTCCCATTACCAGTGCCCTTACTCTATCCGTTCTTTAAAATCCTTCTCCTTTCATTTTTTTCAAATTCTCTAAAACACTTTCTTTTTCTATTGAAAAACGCAAAAACTACGTTTAACTTTACTTTTTCATACCCTACCTATCACGTCATACTTTTTCATTAATAACCAAACTATCTCATCTTACTTTTACCCATCACATCATGGACAACATTGGAAAGTCAACCAAAATTATACTTTACTTAATTTGGCTAAAAGTCAAAACATGAACCTTTTAAAGAAACGGATGGAGTATCTTTTAAAATAACATGTAAAGTGTTTTATTCAATATAACCAAAATAAAGATTAATAATTTCATACTCCGTATAAAACATGTTAGAAAGTGTGCTAACGCTACAAGGGGAGAGAATAGCTAGCATTATAAAGGAATGTTCAAAAAATGTCGCAAGATAATAAAAACTTGAATTAACTTAGGGGTACACCAACATGGGATACCCCATGCCATTTGTATACAAAACCAACACAGACACACACATATACAAAATGTCTTTGTGTCTGTATTGGCTTGGTGCACAAATGAAGTATCCTATATTGGTGTACTCCTAGTATTGCTCTAAAAACTTTGGAAGCCTAAAAGCCAAAATAGAGCAATGAAGGAAAAGCGTAAAGTTGCAAAGAAATGACCGTTCGTCCGTACCTATTGTAATTAGTAATGATTCTCAAAAGAAATGAAAGTGCAGTGAGTTTGATGCACTGAAGACTAATCACTTGTGAATAATGTTACTATGTTAGGAAGAGTGTGTTAAAACAAACCCAATGATTTGAGTTGATTGGAATTGTTTAACTCAAATGTTACGCTACCGAGGGACGCGGATATTGGCCCAGGGGCCGAGGGTGTTTGTGAAGAGAGCATCAGTACGTTCCAAGAGGATTCCCAAACCACCAACAAGATTAAATGATTACCTTTATTGAATTATTTATTGTATTTTAGTTTTTTTAGGGGAGCAAGATATAAGTTTCTTCGAAAGTTTCTTTATGATTCTTTACATCGTTGCTTTTTCTTGAACCGTCAGATAGATAACATAGTAATTTAGAGTTAGGATTTTCTCTACAACTATAAATAGAGATGTAACCCTCATTCTTAATTATCAAAAAAATAATAAACTCAACTCCTAAACTCTAATTTCATCTGCACGACTGCACCCCGTGGCCACTCGGCCTCCTTCTCTACTTCGTCCCAACTTTCTTCTTCTCTTCTTCTCTCCCTCCAATTTACTCAATAGCTTCCTCTTATCAATTGTCATTACCTCGACTACCGGCCGTTAAAATCACGTTATAACAACATTAAATTTTATACTATTTTTCCAAAATGTTACTTTCTAACTCGGTGTTTTCTCAAATCGGCCTATTTTCGAAATAAAATACATTAATTATAGAAAAATATTTTAAATTCTATATGATGACAATACAATACTTAAAACTATAAATATAATTTTATAAAATTAAATGTAAATGTTTTTGATTATTTATAATTATTTAGAAGAATATCATGTAAATAAAATGTGTAATAATCATTAAAAAAATCATCCTAAATTGGAGTAAAACATAGAATAAGTTCCAAAATAGGATCTCTTTCTCTATGTTTTACTTCTAGGATATTTTCTTCAACGTTTATTAAATATTTTGTTTATATGACATTCTTTTAAATAATTACAAATAATCTAAAATGTTACTGTCAAATTTATAAAATTATATTTATAGTTTTTAGTTTATATTATCATCATGTAAAATATAATTTTTTCTAATTAATGTATTTTTATTTCGAAAATGGATCAATTTGAGAAAATACCAGTTAGAAAGTACCATTTTGAAAAAGTACTATAAGGTTTAATGTTTTTTAACGTTGNGGAGGGGCTGAAGTGAGCATTATTCTCAATTACCGATAGACCCGATGACAGACCTGGGTATCCGGCCTACCCACAAAAGCCTGTCCGCAAAAGAATATTTTTGGACTTGACATTTTGAGGTACGGACCGGGCTTGGGCCTTATAAATGTCGCCCCGAATATTTTAGGGTTGAGTTTGGGTTTTATGCTCAAGCCCACGGGTCGGCCGGACTCGAATGAATTACATTTTTTATTATTAGTATATTTATTATAAAATAACAATAACATTAATAATAATAATAATAATAATAATAATAATAATAATAATAATAATAATAATAATAATAATAATAATAATAATAATAATAAAGAACAATACAATTTCAAATTATTATAAACACACATACATACTTCTATGGAGAAAAAAATAAATTACAAGTATATCTAATAAAATTAATACATCTTTATTACTCGTATTATCTACAACGCATCACACATTGATTATGGTAATCCAATAAATAATACTCTATTTCGTTTTCCGTACATATAGTAGCAATATCAAACAAAACATATTTTATACTCCCTCCGTCCCGCTATATTCGTCCACTTTTGACTTTTGGAACTGTTCATCTAAGCACTTTGACTTATCAAATTCTTTCAATGTGTAAGCCTAAATATAGTCATGTGTGATCTTGTTTGATTTTTCTTAACATATAGATTATTAATATATAATTTCTATAATTTTTTAATACACAAATTACAAGATAAAATGGATTAAAGAAGTGTATTGGATGGTGTGCAAAAATGAAAGTGGACAAATACTCTGAGACGTAGGGGGTATATTACTTGTTCTTTCATTTACTCATTATAGTTAGTATATCAAACATCTAATATATTATTCCCTCCGTCCCAAAAAGTATTTCTTGTTTCATTTTTGCATATCCCATAAAACACTTCTACCGACATTTAAATTGCCTAAAATTTACAACATTTCTTCTTTATTGTGGGTAAAAGTTATTTTGAAAGTTTTTTTGACATTCAAGGTGGGATAGAAGTGTTTTATAGGATGCGCAAAAAATGAAACAGGAAAAACTTTTTGGGACGGAAGGAGTAACTCATATTTTTTTAAAAAATATTTTTTAGACTAATTAGAAGTTTTGTGCTGCGGCTGGGCCGGCCTGAAGCCCGTGGGCATTTATACGGGCAGTGCTCATGCTTCAATTGTTAGACCCGCTGTAGAATGTAGACCCGGCCCGAAAATAGACCCGACCCGCGCTTTGATCAAGTCTAATGTACATCTCTGTCTACATCCGTCAAAACCCAGAGGGCGGCGAAGCAGGTCGGCTTCTTCAACCCCCAGGCCAGCCACCATCGCCAACCTAGCCCGATTCCTGCCACCATCGATCGCCGAGTCGTCCTGTCCCCGAGCCCAGCCACCATCGCCAACCTACGCCGCCTTCGCCAGCCCAGTCTCCTCCGCCTTTAATTTCCAGGTTATTACTTTATCTTGAATATCCACTTTTGTATTGTTTTAATTGGGTTCAATCATGTGAATGAAACTGCTTCAATTGTTCAAGTAATGTGTTAGGGCATATTTCTCTATTACCTCTCTGCAGATCTGTTTTTGTAGTTTTTGTGGTCTATTGAATCTGCATAAGTGAGTCAAAAGAAGTGTAGTAAAAAAAGCATCCACTCCTACTTGGAGTTCTCTGTAAAAGATTTAGAGAAGGCTTATCAGAACCTTTCAATAAATAGAGGTTAGACTCTCCCATTCCTACCGAGTTTAATAAAGGGAGGGAATTGAGAGTATTTTAGAGGAAAGGATGATATGGTGTTTGGGATTGGAAATTTTTATTATGGATGAAATAATAGTGGATGAGGAATATCTTTTGTTTGGATTGAAAGGGAAAATGAAAGGAGGGTATGGATATATGTTTAATGTCAAGATACTTAATAAACAAAGGATAGAATGCCTCCCTCCTTTCATTTACCTCTTCTTCCTTCCATTACCCTCAATCCAAACACACCCTTAAGGAGTGAGGGTATAACTGTAAAAGTCTCCAAGTAAATCTGAGAAGGCTTCTCAAATAAAAGAGGAACACTGCGGAAGAAAGCCTTCTCATGATAGAAGAGGAGACCCAATGATGACTCATGAAGAGTGTCAGTTATGACGTTTTCTGAGAAAGAAAATACAAATCAAGAAGGCTTCTCCCGGCTGCAAATGTGTTAGGTAGAATCCTTAGTAGATAGAGTGAAGTGAGGTTGTACTATGATCCACATAGTACTTACAATGAATAAAAAACATACACAATTTGTTGGGACAGATAACAAATGAAAACAGGCTTAACAAATTGGGATGGATGGCTTATATAAGAGAGCCTATATGAGCTCTTGAATATGGGGAGGTTGAGTTTTCCCCCTAACACTTGCTCAACTTCTTGAAACTAGTGATGTGTATTCGTTCATCCCACGCTTGCAACTATTTCCAAGTTTTTAGTTAGTCCTAACGGAATATAACATTATATTGGCAGTTGGTCCTAGAATTAAATTTTCTTGCTTCCTGCCTAGAATGGAAAATGTGCAAAAAGGAAAAGACGATGGCCAATCAACACCTGTGGAGATGCAAGGGACAGGCCCATCAAGTGGTAGTTTGTTGGGATTGGTTCAAGAAAGGTACTACAAGATCAAAGAGAATGCAGAGACATACCCTTACGTGTGGGGGTCGTACATTGCAGTGTATGGAGGATTAGGCCTTTGGCTTGTCTACAGAGGGATGAAACTCCGTAAAACGGAAGATAGGGTTCGAGCTCTTCAAGAGCAACTGCGCCAACTCGTTGAATCTCAAGAGCATGGAGGCGCATCTGTTTCTGGATCTAGCAGTAGGGCTCGCCCACCACAGGATAAAACCACTGATTAAATGGTACGTTATGATCCCTTTCGTGGTTTTTCATCATTATTTTTTTTGGGTCTTTTATGACTTTGTTTGGAAGAGAAGATCCACATTGGAAGTAGAGGGCTGAAGGCTTTAACTTAATCATCTTGACAGTACAAGGAATGGTGTTAACCTGCATTTCTATTTGCTTAAGAATTATTTAATGGCACTTGTGTGGTAGTATTATAATGCAACATGTATTTATCTTTGCCCGAACAAGTATTATAGTCCGACTTTTGGCATTCTATAGTACCAAACTACTACACTGCGTAGCTTGCTTCAATTCTTGATTAATGAATTTTCTATCTTTCAATGCGTTTTCGGGCTAATTTCTCTCATTGAAAAGTTTCAAGAGCTAACTTGGATTGAAAATGCAATGAAAGTTACTTAATTTTGATACAAAATACGGAGTAAAATTAGTATGTTGTGATAAGTAGATTGAGAAATAATGTGCTCCTTTTGTTCGGAAATATTTTCCACATTTGAATTTTCTTAATCTAACTTTATAAACTTTGACTTCGATTTGTGGAAAAAAATACATTATATTATGATATAAATTTAATACCAATATATTCTTAATGAAACGTAGTTTTGAAATATCAACTTTTTATAAAGTATATCTATGTATAAATATAGATATTAATGATCAAAGTGCTATATTGAAGACCGTGAAAAGTCAAATGGGAAAAATATTTTCGGACGGATGGAGTATAAATATATGGAGTATATACCAAAAAAATGTCTTAACTAATTTGAAACCGGTTTAAAATGGATGAAGAGAATGATACTCGGAGTATTGGAATACTTAATACAGAGCATGATCCTAAAGATATGAACCATTACACTGTTTTGTAGTTGTAATTTTGCATTCTACGGGGTATATGAGTATAAATAGAGGTGTTAATCGGGTCAACCAGATCGGTTCTAGATTGGATTTTTTCGGTTCGGATTAGTTTAATTTCGATTCAGATTTGATTTGGTTCTATACATTTTTCGTTTTGGTTCGGTTTCGATTCGGTTTAGATATGGTTCGAATATAAATCGGTTCGGATAAATTTCGATTCGGATACAATTTGATTCATATATATTTTTGCTTCGGATCTAGTTCGGTTTGGATATGTTTTAGTTTCGGATATATTTTAGTTTGGATATATTTCGATCGAATATATTTTGGATATATATTATTTTCTAATTAAAATATAATTATCCATGTTTCTTTTTTTGTTTTATCACATTTAACAATCTATCATGTATCATATTCAAATTATATTTTTTTTATAATTATACAACCTCCACCCTAAATAATCTTTCTTTTTTGATTTTTTAGTCATATTTTATAAATTTGGACTACAAATTATGAAAATTATATATTTAATTTTGATAAAAATTTAATATAATTAAATTGATTTTAAAATTTAGTTTTGATATATTAAATTTAGAGACTCACATCCTTTATTATAATATTTGAGACTCGATTCACGAGAATTCGACAAGTAGACAACACACTTGGCTATTTTTTTACACGTCAACATGCCATGTCATTTTTAGAGTATGTGCTGATAATTACTTTTTGTTGTTACATTTTTATTAGTTATAATTACTCATTTTATAACTTTCATAAAAAAAGATGTGGTTTCTATTTTATGCCTTAGTTACCTTATTAAAAGTTTATGTTTTTGCCATAACTAAAGCTAATCCGGTGTGATACTTTAATTTAAATATAAGTTTTAATTACGATTAAATCAATTTTTTTGCATCATTTAAAGTCAAGTTTTATAGTTTACCAAGTTATAAAAATATAAGATTAAATATAATTTCTTGCGTTATGTAATTTTCATAATTTTTACTCGATGATTTCAATAAATCTTGCCTATGTAAATTAAACAATTTTTATCTAATGATTATAGGAATTCTTTCCTTATGTGATTTTTTTTATTCTATAGTTTACCTTTTTTTCAACATTATTAACTACTCCCTCCGCCTCTCTAAGATCTTCTCCTTTTGATTTTTTATAATTTTTAAAGAGACTTGATAAAAGATGAAAGTTTACCAAAATACCCTTAATGAAAATGGCGAAGTCTATTAAATGAGATGGTAGAGGTGTAATAAATAAAATAAGTAGGAATAATTGTGGTATTTTAGATATTAAAAAAGATAATGAGAAGATCTATGAGAGAAAAATAAAAAGGACTAATGGGAATAAAAAATGAAATTCTTGACTAACACACCAATTTAAAATATGATAATAATAATTATTTTAATCGATAAATAATATTATAGTACAAAGAGAGAAATAAGAATATAATCTTGAAAGTAAATTCCATCATCGGTCTCTAATTATAGGTGGTTTTTCATATTTAGTCTCCAATTCTAAGATATTACGGAGTATATTAATGGTCCTCAGTTTTTGAAAATAATTTCATAAATAGTCATTTAGGACAAGAGTGATGCTTACATAGTCCTAAGGTCAATATTTAAAATGTGGAGCTTCTCACATTTTTCATGTGATCCTTAAGACACAGTATTTTTTCTGCATATAGTTCTTAAATGACATTTCATGGAATACTTTTCACAAACTGAGGATGATTTATGTAATTTCTTAGTTTTATGGACTAAATATAGAAAATCACCTGTAATTTAAGATTGTGTATGCAGTTACTCTATTTCTTGATAATCATATATTTATAATTTAAAAAGAAAAAGACTAAAGTAAGAGTAAAACATATAAAATATATAAAAATCGGAGTTCCATGTTTTACTCTGAAAATTGGAGTTAAAATGTATTTACAATGCCAATCATGCCAATGTATAATACCAAAAAATTTGAAATGTCTATATACAATGTCACATTAACACAATGTGAACTTTTATTTTGGGACAAAAACATGAAACTTCTATTGAATACTAAATGACAAATTTTTTTGGGATAGAATATATAAAAACAATTTCAATGTTTCCCGTGGTTTGGAAAATAAGTAGAAATGCCCCATTGCCCCGTCTATTTTCAAAACTTATTCATAAAATTCTCTAATCATTTCAAAAGGATGCACAGAATATCCCATCTAGGGGTGGACACGGTACAGTTCCGGTTCCGGAACCGCCGTTTCCGGTACCGCCACCCCATGGCACCGGCACCGTGACCGGACCGGCCGGTACCGGTTCCGGTTCCCGGACCGGCGGTTCCGGTACCGGACCGGTCGGTTTCAACTCCCCGGCAGAGAAGACCCCTCATTCAAGAACAATTGGAAGAACTTGGAACCCTTTGGCGGTAAGAAAGGAGAAAAGGAGAAAAAGGAGAAAAGAAAGGAGAAATCAAGGTCGGCAGTGGCGTGGCGGAGCATAAAATACAGCATCGGTTGTTGCATCCTTCACTGGTTCATCCTCCTGCAAATCAATCCGAGAGATTTCGCCATTAACACTCCGTTGGACAGCAGGGAAAACCGGAAAAGAGAAAAAAAATTTAACGGTACCAGAACCGGTACCGGTACCGCCGGTGCCGGTACGGAAATATTGGCACCGGAACCGGTACCGAGTGGGGCGGTACCGGTGCCGGTTCCTGGTACCGGGTAACTAATCGGTCGACGGCGACGGTGGCGGGTACCGCCGGTACCGGCTCCGGTAACGGTATCGAACCGGTACCGTGTCCAGCCCTAATCCCATCGGACTATTTTTCGTTCATTTTTTCCAGAGAAGAAGGGGCATTGATGCTCAATTTTTAAACCACAAGGGTACCAGAGACCATTATCATAATTTTTATTCATTTTTTATTTCTCTTTATAAAATATTCTTTATAGTTTTTCTAAATTTAAATTAGTTTAGAGGAAACAACTGAAAGAAGAAATTAACATAATCATATAAATTATGTCACAAGTTAAATATTTTTATTTTTTGTCAAATAAAATAAAAAATAGAAAAAAGATATAAAATACAGAGTAAAAGATAATAGAAAAAGGAGTGAGTAAGAAAATGAAGTTCCGTGCAAAGAAAACCAAATTTATTTGTTCGTTTTCGAGATATAATAGTATTCCTAAAAAATGATTTCAGGTATATTTAGGAATAACGTTAGAAATTAGCATTAAAATTTTGAAAAGACTATCAATGGAGAGCATTTAGCATTAGCACTTTTAAATTCGATCTGCACCGTTAAAATTTTATCCAAAACGCTAACGCTAATTGAAAATAGGCCTTCGTACCACTTATGTAACCAAACATAGAAAAAGAGACTTGGATTTTTTGGAAAAATATTTTTCTCCTAACAAAACAGACTGTAAGAGTTAAAGTCCAAAATAACAAAGTCATAAATTTTTTTTAGATAAATTACAGAAACAATCATTTAACCAAAATGCATCGCACAGGTTAAAACACTATGTCCTTATCCTTAATCCTTAATTCTTAATATATAAAGCTGACTCCGAATCGTGTGTTGATGAAGGATTTAAAATTAAACGACCTTCAATCTCATTATTGTCATGTACTAATTTAGCATTTCTTACCAGTGACAATTAGATCAATATTGCTAATGAATGTGAGTGGGCCAATAACTAGACTTTGTTATTTTTTCAATGTAATTTGTAGTAAGGTCATTGATGTAGAAATGTTGGATCGGTTACAAGAGGAAGTGTAGCCACCTTATGTGAGTTTGAGATCTTCTTTCCTCCATCATTCTTCGATATCATGTTCCATTTAGTTGTGCATTAAGTGAGAGAAGTTAAGCTTTGTGGCCTTGTATTTTAAGATACATGTATCCTTTAGAGAGATTTATGGGCATTTTGAAAATTAAAGGTATGTAAGGAATCGGTATACACCTGAGGGCAGTACTGTTGAATGATATTTGGAAGAAGAGCTTATTGAATTCTACAATGAATGTTTGGATTTGGAGTGCACGATTGAGGTATACCAAAGTCTTGCCATGAAGGTAGAATTGAGGGAGAACGAGATCGAATAGGACATCACATCATTCATCTTGACTCTGATATGTTTGGTCTAGCACAACTCTATATTTTACAACAACTTGATGATGTTCGCCCGTATTTAGAAGAGCACATGTCCCTATTAAGACGAGAGAACCCTAAAAAAATGAGAGGTGGTTGACCAACAAGCACAACCACGTATTTTTGAAATATTTTCAAGAGCATGTTCGCTGGCATACAGTACATTCTCTTGACCTTGTCACAGAAAATGTGAGATCATTAGCCATGGGTCGTCGGTAAATGTATCCTCTTACGAGGGGTACTACATGAACGACTATTATTTCTATACAAGATGTCATGATGACAAGAGTACAGTATATAATAGTTGTGTGTCATTGAATGCTTCCTCGTTACACATTCCTAGGGTAAAGGTTCTACACAATTCGATCATACAAAACATACTATGACATGGTCGAGGATATATGGAAACTTGAATATACAAACTTTACGATTCCTGTGTTTTGGTGTAAATGGGTGAATATCAATAAGGGGATTAAATCAGATGACATGAGGTTTACATTGGTCAATTTTCAGAAGCTGGTCCATCATGAGGAATCAATTATAATGGTCTCCCAAGCGATATAAATTTATTACATTGTTGATCCTAAAAATAAAAATTAGTCTGCCAAGGGAAGAGGTCACCATTTGAGTTGGACGATGGTCTATATGATCAAGCGACTCCTATTTCAGTTAGTATACAAGACTCACAAGTAGATGATATAGAGGCAAGATACATTCGCGAATATCACAAAGAAGGTTTATGGACAAATATTGAAAAAAGAAAAAGATAAAATAAAGATTTAAGTATTTAATCTTGTTCATTTCTATCAATTTCATTTCATTTATTTTCAAGTGCTATTTATTTTAATTAAAATTGATTCTAAAGTCAACTAAATTTTGTGGGATGCAATTGAAGTGGGTGGGTGGAGGGTCGGTTTGGGTCAGGCTGGGGTAGGGGATTTATCGAGGGATTAAGAAGGTAAAAATCATCAATTTCTCGCTCCGCAGGTGCTGCAAGACCCATGTCACAAGTTGATATGGAGAAGTAATGTCACCCGAACCTCCCAAATATATCAATGGTAAAATATTGATTCAAGATGATAAACATAAATTCTGTGTAGGACTTAAGGATGAATGTAGTATCACTTAAACCACTACGAGACGTGTCAAAAGTAAATGCGCCCACATCACCGAACCAAAAAATTTCCTTAAAATGAATGTCATCAATTTCGGATAAGATTATCACAAATTAGAGTTAATAATAAGAATATTATTATTATTATTAATTATTTATTATGTACGAAGTATTATTATTAGTATTATTATTTACATAATGTAAAATATACCTCCATATATTACACTTGGCGTCCACATAAGACAACAGTTCTCTCCTGAATCTGCCACGCATTCCTCTTATTCTATCATCATTTTGATAAGTTTCATTCCCTACGTATCCTTTTGTACATATCTACATAGTTACATCACGAATCATTTTTTTTAAAATCATTTTATATAAAAATTACTGAGAATTTAAAAATAAAGTTTACATATTTAAAAATTAATTAAAAAATTCTATATAACAAGAAGTGACATGACTATATCATTTTATTAAATGAGTACCGAAAATAAGTAATGAAAGTGAATAAAATTTGAACATGTAAATAGTAGACATGCAACTTAAATTTGAAGAGAGGAAGTAATAATTAAATTAATTTTTTAATACTACCTCCATCCTAAAATAGATGTTACGATTCAAATAACGTGTTAAATCTCGTGACTTTAAATTGGGGCAAACACAAAACAAAAAATCAATGATTTAACTTATCTTGAAACTATCCAACTTTTAACATTACCTCTATGTCAAATAAATTATCTTGAAAATAACTTCAGTCAACTCGTACAGTTAACTCGTACACAGAGAAATTAATGATTTGAATTAGGGCACAGGGAATACTCGCTGATATTAAGTAATGGGTATTCTAAAAAAAATTACCTTTTATGTTTACCACAAATCTCAACTGCACGTAAAAGATGTAAGAGATAATAATTAAGGGAGAAAGATTAAAATATGAGTATAACACAGGGAAAGAATCAAAATAAAAACTTTATGTTTTTATAATTTTATTTCTAGAAATGGGAATATAATGCCAAAATATAATACTAATTAAAAGCACTATAAAATGCCAACATAAAAGCGACGTTGTCACAATGCAATATAATCGTTCCATTTTGAGAAGAAAAAGGTAACACTCTTATTTTAGAAATAAGAGCTATAAGAACCATAGTTTTAAAACCGGACCGGGGACCGAATCGGTCCGAGTACTGGTTCACTGGTTCAGGTGGTCGAACCAGTGGTTTATATATATATATATATATATATATATATATGTATATATATATATATGTATATATGTATATATGTATATATGTATATATGTATATATATATATATATATATATATATATATATATATATATATATATATATTGGTTCTGGTGAGAATGCAATCTTAGGAGAGAAATGAGAATGAATCTGGTGCTTTAGATTGTGAGATCTAAGGTTCAAGATTTCATCAAAATTAGATGCACCAAAATGGTGCAAAAATGCATCACGTTGAAATGCATCATAAACCTTCGAAAATGCACTATCTCGAAATCTGAGCGCAGGATGCAATTTGAGCCGCACGATGCATCAGATCCGACGGCTAGATTTTATTCTCATTTCTCTCCACAAGGTGCATTCTCACGGGAACCAGCCCCTATATATATATATATATATATATATATATATATATATATATATATATATATATATATATATATATATATATATATATATATATATATATATATATATATATATATATATATATAGACACACACACACATACATATTTTCTATAAAATCAAAATAGCTTCTTTCATATGTACATAAAAATTTTATGATATTTGATTGAAATTTTAATCACTCTAACTTATTTTGTTAGTCAATTTATATTTAAAAAAAATTTACGTATCGAGAAATACATTAAAAGTTTTATAAAATAATGATATTTTATTTTTCTTTATAGATTTTGCCTAATATCTAAAAATATTAAAATGAATTATTTTCGTGACACGTACTCCGTATTAGAATTATTTCTATTTTTAAATATTAAGAATCTTAGTTTAAGAAATAAAGAAATCTTTTAATTAAGGAATATATACTAATTAGAACCAATATGTAACAAAAAACGTTCTTGCTTGGTTGGTTAATAGCTTTGCATAACAACCAAAAAGTTAAGAGTTCGAAACTTATTGGAGGAGTAAACATTTTGGCCAAATTTGCAAAAAAAAAAAAACTGGTTCGACCGGGTGAACTGGCCGATTCTTACCGGTTCACACCGGTTCGAACTTGTTCATGCGCGAAGCGGTCCAAAGGGCCAGACCGGACCGGTTCGGCCTTCGCTCCGCCGGTTCCCGGTCCAAACTGGCCGGTCCGGTCCGGTTTTTAAAACTATGATAAGAACTCACCCAAAATAGAGCTAAAATATAATTCTTATTTCTAAAATAGGAGAGATACATTTTTATCCCAAAATAAAATTATTACACTGTGACAATCTAGCACTGTATATTGACATTTCACAATAGTTATTTATTATGAATTATATACTTCAATTCCTCCGTCTCATAATACTCTTCAAAAATGAAAATAGGCATGCCTTAAAATTGTTTAATTTTTTAAATATTTTTTAATTTTGTCATTACTTTATACGGAGTAATAAAATAGAATAGATGTGTCATATTTAGAAACAATATCAAAATTACTCATTTTCAGGGAGCATATTTTTTCATTTCTTTGAAAAGTTTTTTTTGCGACAGAAAAAATATGCATTGTAGATCCTAGCTTAAGATAAAAACATGAAATTCATATTTTTATTTTTTTGCTAAGTTTTATTTTTTTTAGTATTTCCCCAGAGAAAGAGAGAGAGCTATACGTTTTGCTCGCTCCTTTTTAATAATTCCTCCGTCTATTAATTTTTTTCTCACTTTTTGTTTTGGGCTGCTCTAAAATTTCTTTCTTATTTTCTATTTTGGCAAAAAACTTTTAATGAATTTACAGTTATACTCCCAGTTTTTATCTATATTATTCACTTTATTCCATCACATCAATGACACTACATTGAAAGTCTTATTTTTTTTTGAATTTTTGTTAATCTCCATGTCAAGTTAAAACGAGAAAGAAATTTTTGGACTGAGTGAATAATTAATAATATTATAATTACAATTAATGAGCTCATATGTAGGAAGTATGTAGTATATATAGGAGTGAATGGGAAGCTTAATTACCATCAATTCAAAGCATATTGTGCATCATTATACATATACTATATTAGTAGAGAGAGCTGATTAAGAGAGAGAGAGAGAGAGAGAGAGTGAATATATACACAAATTAAAAATAAGATGATGGATTGGGGGCCGGTGCTGATATCGGTGGTATTGTTCGTGTTCTTTTCACCGGGACTGCTTTTCCAGGTTCCGGGGAGGTGCCGGCCGGTCGACTTCGGGAACTTTTGCACCAGCGCCCTCTCCATTATAGTACATGCAGTTCTCTTCGCCATCTTCGAGATCATGCTCCTCTATGTCATCCACCTTCGTATCTTCCCCAGCCACCATTGATATATATATATATATATATATATATATATATATATATAGATATATATATATATATATATATATATATATATATATATATATATAGATATATATATATATATATATATATATATATT